CTCTTCACTCTCTCCAGGTGGGAAACAATATTCATACTTCTTTATTTATAGCAAATTATGATTCCTATTACACACACATTATTATACAGTTTAGCTGTTTATGTCAGTGTAGTTTTTAGAAATTATGTGACTTCAATAAATCTGACTACATCGTGTGCATGATTTCATTTAGATAATTGATTAGTTCAAATAAACATTTAAATTAAAACAGATAAACTAATAGGATCTTTTCAAAAAGAGTAAATGATTTGGACAGAAAACTGATGAATGATTTGATTGTTGAATGTTTTAATTCAGCGAGTGAAATAAAGATAACTTATGAATTGTAGATGTTTTTCTCATAGTGATTTTTCTCAGTGTGTTTGACAGATCTGAACACACACACACACACACACACACACAAACACACACGGACGACCTTATCCAGCAGTGTCTCTGATCAGTGTTTGACTTCATCCTTCAGTCCAGCGTGAGTCTTTCATTTAGCAATATATGAGCTATTTTTTTTATCTTTGCATCATGGATGAATTAAATTGAAATTAATTAATTTTCTAACATTGATGAGATTTACTTTATTGTCATGTCATTGACCTAACTGCAATTTGTATGAATTTTACGAAGTGGATAATTTCTAGGGATTCATACAAACTCACTCACTCACTGGTAAGATGTTTGCTAAATCAGTCGCCCAATCGTATGAATTATCCACCCGTACTTCGTGAGATAGTGTCGTCATCCACACAAGTGTACAAGGAGTGGAGATATTTTGTTCATAGATCCTTGCAGGAATACAGAAACAATGAATGTGACATTTAACTTCAATAAATACACACAGAGAATCATCACACAGTTGTGGTATCTTAACTATAAATCATATAATACATACTGTATCATATACTACATATTGATTTACTGTAGTAATCCCTTTACTTCTGTTTGCAGCAGTTACAGCAACAGACATGGGATCAGGGTCGTCTTCAGGTCAGAACACACACACACTTGTAATACACACACGACACCTGGTGGATACTCCAGGATACTACACTTTTTACTGTATATTGTAAGTTATGAATTATTAGAGTAATCTCTGAAAATATTTCATGTCTGATACAGGAGAAGTTCAAGCAGACGAGAAGTCTCAAAAGTAAGTATTTAGACTTTATCTTTACTAACTTCATAATCAACTGATTATAATCCAAATGAGTACATCATATACAGTTGCTTAAAGTTACTCACCGAGTGAGACGAGGAAAGTTGATATGGACAGTGTAACTTTTACTGTATTCAACAACAGCTCCTTAAACCACAACAGATCATGATCACAGACGATCACATTTACTTTACACACACAACTCTATTTATGAATTAACTAATAGATAATAATATAATACTTGCAGATACTTGAAGTCAACTGTTTTACATAGATTGTTCTATTATTATCATCATTTTTGCTTGTGCATTTTTATAGAAAATTATATTTAACATCCCAAGCATGAACGGTGTATAAAACAGAGGATTGTAGTTCAGTGAGTGCCAGTAGAGGACACTGGTGTAACGTTAGCAATGATGGACATCCGAGTTATCAAGAGAAGGACAGAAAACTACAACACAGCCTCTATTAGCCAATCAGTGAACTCATGTTAACAAAGAGCCTTTATTGTCAAGTTTTATAGTGTTAGTTTGCTATAGTGAAAAAGTTCAGCATGACAATTACAATATACATTAAGGTTAATATAATATGTGCGTTTTGCCTGATAAAACCATAAAACAGACTAAACATATATCTAGTGTTGTCTACTTATGAAAAAAAAATGTTTTGATATTTCAGGGAATTCGAAGCTCTTGGTGCCAAACTGCGACGGAGCATTGAGGAACTGAACTCAAAAGAATTTGACAGAAATGATCAAACTCTCACTCTTCAAATACAGAAACTTGAACCTGATTTAGATCTGACTGGTGTGGCTGTTAGTGTTAGAAATGCATTATTAAGCATGAACAAGATGATTGCGTATCTGAGATCAATTTACAACACCGTAAATCAGATTCAGCAGATGAAGGAGAAGGTTTCTGATCAAAATAATGAAATACTGAGAACAATGAAATCTGTGAATATGAAGAGAATTGACGAAACTCTGAAAGTGTATGAGAAACTAAACCGCTCAATCGATACTCTATTGATAAATATTGAAGATTACAAAATCGCAGGACAAAACAAGACAAAAGCAGAAGAAATCAAATCAGAAACTTTGAAATTGATTCCTCAGATGAAAGAAATATCTTCTCAAATTCAGAAGACTCTGAACAAAATTAAAGATGCCAAATAATAAATTAACAGATTAGTTTAAATCTGTTTAGAAATGATTGGACTGATCTGTGTGGTTTTATCATCAATAATACAGTCAAAGTGAATCCCTCTAATCTGACATCTTTAAAGATGTGTGCATTTAATGATGTATAAATCATGCAGAAAGTGTTCAGTCTTTCAAAGAAACTCACATTAGCAGAGGTTTCAGAAAATAGTGGCGGAAATATGTACTTTCTTTCTTTTTTTACATTGGTTTTGTAATATATATGATTAAATGACTAATGACATTAAATGTCATATGGGTTTTTGGAAGATTTTATTTTATTTTTGATGAGAAACTGTTTGCATGTTCAATCAAACTTGTGTTCTTGTTTTTATGACATTGGATAAACTTTGTCTTTGTAAATGAATCACTTACTCTGGAGTTAAGATTTCTTGTGAAATTCTTCAGGCATTCATTTTAATTGCCCTCTTTGTTTTATATTATTACTGTAATACAGAATAAACTCAATAATCATGCTTTCCCAGCTGATGCAGATTTCAAGACATTTATTACAAAAATAAATTTCTCCAACATATCCTCCACATTGTGTGATCTTTTATGAGTACATGGGAAGATTAGAAATCATCTTTTAGAGGTGACATGATGCTGAAATAAACTAAGTTTTGCTCACAATATTCAATCTTGTAACTGTTCTGGTTGGTTTACTGAAAATGTTTTTGGTATTGTTTATTCATTTTTAATAAGTAATGTTTTTGAAGAGGAATTGACTGTGTAAAATGTTGAGTTGTTAAAAAAAAAGTTTAAAGAAGTTTTCAGGAACATCATTCTAACCTTAATAAAAGTTCCAGTAACTTTAAGAAATCGAGCTTCATCTGGTGGACATTAAACAGCCGTGATGAAACATGATTATCTCTGATATCAACAGCTTTGATAATTAAGATACATTTACATTGAAGCGGTCATGAACTGCATTGTTTTATTGTTTCATAACGTCTCCTGTGGGGTGCAAGTATAATGGTAGTATGATTTTTACTTCGAACAATTTAACAATTTAGAAATAAAAGGCATTTTCTCCTTCCCTTTCATCCGTCTGATTTTTGAAGGGGCGTGTCTGTGTGAGACTTCAGTGTACATGCCCACTGCTGTGATTGGCTGCTGTGAGACTTCAGTGTATACGCCCACTGCTTTGATTGGCTGACAGCTTTGCATATAAAAGAGCTAAGCATTACATGTGGAACTCTCTCCAAATATTATTTAATACAATGGATTTATTAAAAGTTGTTTAAAAAAATCTTACTTTAAGGCACACACAGACCTCAAGATTCAGTAAATGCTTCTCAACAATTGTCACGAGCAGAATATTAAATTAGGAAAAGTAAAATACATAGACAATTCAGATCATAATTTATTCATACCGCAATGCATGATGGGATACATTAATGCGTTGTGATTGGTGGCAATAAGGATTATTATTGTCACCATGGTTGAGATACACAGACTGATTATTGATGTCTGTGTTTCTAAATAAAGATGAAAGTGATTTGATCAGAAAAATTTATATGAAATGTTTTGGATTATAAGAAAAACATGGATAATCAAATGCTGTAGAACCTCTAAACTGTTGCTAACAAGGTAAACCAAATCATCAGAATAAGTTTCATTTTTCAGATCACAACATGAATATGCCAAAACATAACCAACACTATCAGATCACAGTTTTCTTTGTTCATTTGACTGTTATAAATCAATAACAGCAGACAAACAAAACTTAGAGTGAAAGTATAAGTGTCAAGAGCCCAACTAAAGCAAACACTGATCTCCATAACGGTGGCTTACAATTTTAGATTTTCTCCTTCAGTGATTCTGCTTGGGATCATCAGGTGTCTTCAATAATGCTCAATCATCACTGAATTAATCACTTAATTATCTAATT